GCGGACTTTGAATTACCAGAAACCCAGAAATACATTATCAATGATTGATCGTGAAAATTAAATAGATCCAAACAAAGCAAATTCAGAGTTGACAGTAATTAACAATCTTGTAATAATGATGAAAATGTGCCGGTTTTATCAACGGCTCAAATTGTGATTTAACCGATCCTTTATTGTCTTCTCTTATAATACTGTATTACTGGGTACAATAATAAAGATGAAAAAAATGTTTAATTACGATTAATACTAACTGACGTTAGTAAGACTCATATTGACGTGATGACTAACTTTTTAAGAGATAAAAAAGTGATTCCTGCGTCTTTATCGCGATGTTTTAAATGCAAAATACATCACACTTTTTTCATACGTTCAAGCACGTCACCACATTAATATGACATCACATTGTGATTTTAGTAATTATAATTTCAATAACTGCACGTTTTCTTGAACAAAAGCAAAACGATCGTAAAGTGAGTAAGAGCTATTCATCATGTTTTTTATTTAAAAAACAAGTCAAAAAAATCGCGAAATTGCTTAGAGAAATTATTTCTAGGACATTTCAAATAATTTCATTGTGAACTTCTAATTCTAAGATTCCCCTTCCCCTGCCTATCTTTCACACCTTCACTTCAATACATTCTATCTCACTCATTCTAACTATATTATATGCTCTTTCTTTCATATACTTTCTCCTCCCTTCTCTCGCGAACTCTTCTCTCTCGCGGGCCGAATCATGTTTCTTTTTTTATGATTTATCTTGATTTTGTCTCGTTTTATTTAAAAAAATACTGAATTAGTAACCAAGCTAAAATCACAGACTTGCTGGTGATTTATCCCAGCGGATTTGTACAAATTCCTTCCGAAGATCTCTCATTTTCTCTCTCTCTCTCTCTCTCTCTCCCTCCCTCTCTGTGTGTATATATATGTATATATATATGTATAATTACAAGATGTGTATATATATATGTATATAATTATGTATATATAATATATGCGCACACACACACACATATACATATATACATATATATAATTACAATTTCGCGAAGTAAATGTGTATAAGATCGCATTTTATCCTCTTTCGCCCATCCTTTTTTCTCTCTTATCTCCTCATCACTTTTCAATCCAACGCATTTTTTATTCTCTCGCTCTCTGTCGCTCCTCCCTTAGCATTTGTCGATATTTATAGTTATTTTTTGTGTGCTTGTGGGAACGGATGAATAATGTAAAAATGTACAGAATAATTCTCGCAGACAAGCATGCCCTTCTCGAATCCACAGTAGAATTTTCGGTGGAAAGCAAAAACAAAAGGAAAGGAACGTGTCTCGTTAGCCGTCAGCAGCAAAATAATCATCGAAAGACGACACAGCGGAGATCTCATTGCTCGGCTCTCATATACTTTCTCTCCAGCCTCGTACCGCACTACTTTTGATAGATTATACAAGGTGCTGGAGAAGTAATGGAAAATTTTGTCTTATAGAGGTTGAGTGGACTAAACCGAGAAGAAAAGTCCTCTACCATTTTACAATTTTCGCAATAGTTAACGAGAATTTATAAAAGTATCCAAATTCGCTACGCGTTATTTATAACATTGTAAATGGACGTTGTCTAGCGATGATCATTGGGGAATTTGGATATTTTTATAAATTTATATTTCGTTAACTATTGCAAAAATTGTAAAATGGTAGAGGACTTCTCCTCTCAGTTCAGTCCATTGTACCCTTACGTAACAGAATTTTTCATTACTTCTCAAACACCCTGTATATTCGAGATCGCTAATATTCTACAGCCGTCGATATAGACGATCGGAGTGTATTTCCTTGATATGTTAAAAAACCAAAAAATAATTAAGGAAACGATCATCTCTATTCCACTTTTGTCCTCTACAGAATCCCTTCTTCTGACGTCATACGTAACGGTTCGTAATAACAAAAGCATCTTTTTTTTATCTATTTGCTATGATAGTGTTAATGATTGCACACCGCATTAGCGCGTACATATTATGATCAGATTACTTGGGCGCATGACGTCAAAGTCGAAGAGGACCGAGGAGTTTATTATGAGCGAGGTGAGGTTAGTTGATTTCGTTCTTCTATTGTTCGTGAGCGCGTTCAGAAATTTTAAACGAGTTGCCTTAAGCTTCGACGCTTAAAACAAATTTGCACAGTTTGCTTTCGATGTAACGATCTCGCGAAAATATATCGATGGGCTACTTATTTTCGAATACGCGATATGTATAAGGAACGCAACGGGGAAAAAAAAACACATAAAGGACGAACGTGTCGACTAGTTGAAATAACAATAAGACGGAAACCCTTTGACTCTAATCGAAGTGACGACTCGATTAAAAACGCAGAACGCGCGCACTTTTTTTCCGGATAAAATTCTCGCACGTGTATATGTAATACATATATATGTACCATTTACATACCGGTATGTATAGTAAAGCGCACACGCCGCTCGTGTTTAGGTCGTTACATGCGGAAATTGCTTATATTGTCGCTCTATTCTTAGTATAATCACAGACATGGTTTCTATAATTGCTACGTACAACAGAGCCTTTTCTCGTTCGACGCCGAACACGATAGGTTCTCTCTCTCTCTCTCTCTCTCTCTCTCTCTCTCTCTCTCTCTCTCACACACACACACACACACACACACACACA